CGACAAGTGCCTCAACCAGTACAAGATGCAGATCTTTTGCCGCGAGACCGAGGCTCACCTGCAGATGCACCCGCACCTGAACGACCTGAAACCCGCCTCCAGCAGCGGCCTCATCACCCCCGACCTCTGGCTGAGGGACTGCAGCCAGACCAGCGAAGCGGTGAGGCTTTGTTCCGCGGGGCTGCTTGCTTGCGCCTTCGCCAAGCACTGTCTGCTTTAGGGGAGATGCTTTACATATATGTGAATATATGTATGTATGTATTTACGAATATATATATATAATATATATATATATATATATATATATATATATATATATATGTGCATGTGTGTGTGGTGGGGGGATACACATGTACATATAGCATTAACTTACACATACCGCTTTCTTCAATAAATCTAGTTTGCGTATTGTGGGTTTTTCTTCTACAAACCAAAACATACAACTGATAGGTAGACCTAACGGGATGTAGCCATTGCCGTCTAACCCGCCCTGCGTGTTCCCACAGGACTCCGGACCAGAGGGCGACGTGCGGGTGAGTTCGCCGAGCTCGCCGCCCGCGCCTGCCACACCACCGCCCGCATCGCCGAGCCCTTCGGAACCCGTCAACCTCACAACGCAGTCCTCCTCCAGGAGCGAGCCCCGCGCCTCGCCCTCGCTCTCGCAGACGTCGTCGGCCTCGGGGCGCGCCGGTCAGTCCAGGTCCTCTGAGGGCCGGAGCCCCGGGCCGCTGCCCGCCCCGCGCTACGGCCGCCCCAGGCTCAGGGACCGGCGTGACGGCGGGCGGGAGGTCGGGCGGCCTCGCACCGTGCGGGCGTCGCTGCAGATGGCCCGCGCCGCGCACGCCGAGAAGAGCGACGAGGTGCGCATGCCGGCCATCCGCGTGCGGCAGCTGGAGGCGCAGCAGCAGCAGCACGAGGCGGCGGCGGGCGAGAGGGAGCTCCCCAGCAGCAGCAGCGTAGGCGAGAGCGGCGGGGATGTGTCCCCTCATCCCCCAGCCCAGCCTCCGGGCCTGCCCCTAGGCGGCCTAGGGGGCGGCCTAGGGAGCCTGCTACCCATGGTGGGCGGCGCCCCGCTCCTGCTCCCTCACATGTTACCTCATGATCTCCCGCGGACGCCTCTCCTGCCCCACCTCCTGCTGCAGCACCCAGAGCTGCTGCGCCCGCCTCCCCTGCGCCACCCGCTGCTGCCCGTCCGCCCGCGCCCGCCCCGCCCACACCCGCCCCGCCCACGGCCATCCCTCCACCGCAGCCGGGGCCACCCAAAGCCCCCGGCTCCCTCCTACCTCCCGTCACTGTGCTCCTGCCGTGCCCGATCCCCATCCCCATCCCCATTCCCATCCCGGTGCCAATCCCCATCCCCGTCACCACCCGGGGCGACGCCCCCGAGGGCCGGCCGAGCCCCCAGAAGGAGCCGGCAGGGCGCCAGCGTCCGGCGCAGCGCAAGGACGCCAGTCGGTCGGGCTCGGTCATTACGGGTCCCGTGGGTGCTTCTACGAGCTCGGGGTCGGCGCCCCCAGCCTGCGCCGCCCCTGCGCCGCCACCTCCGCCCACCACGTCGTCCTCCTCCAGCGAGGGCGAGAGACCGCCGTACCTTCGGCCGGACCGCGAGCGCCGCAGCATCCTCCGGTACACGTCCGACGTGTACGAGATCAACGGCGTGTTCCTCCCGCGGGACTCGGCGTGGGAGGCCCCGGAGCCGCTGCAGCTGCGGCGGGCATTGGTGGGCGACCCGAGCCACGACTCCTTCAACCATCAGCACGACTTTGATTCCCGTGAAATGTCCAGGACGCCGTCGCCGGGCCCCGCGGAGGACAACAAGGACGCCCTAGCCTCGCTCACGAGGAAGAGGGAGGAGGAGACGAGCACCGTTAAGAGGCTGCTCGGCGAGGACGAGGAGGAGGTCAAGGAAAGGGTCTCGGGAGAGGCGTCCGACCCGGAAGGGCCCGCGACGTCCACCGCCGCCACCACCACCACCACCGCTTCCAGCACCGCAGCGTCCACCAGCCGGAAGCGACACCCCGCTAACGACCACCACCAGCAACCGTTGCCGAAGAAGAAGCACTTGCTGGTGTGACCAAGGCTTGGCAGCGCGGCCGAGGCCCACCGGGCTCAAGGAGGCCTGGCTTTCCCTCACCGGCTCGGGTGATTCCTCGCGATGGCGTCTCGGCAGAGCCTCGGACGAAGACTGGGGCGACGCCCGAACGCGACGCCTTCTTCAAATGGCGTCCAGGATCACTCAGACTGGGATTAGTTTTGGTCACATGATGGATTTCACAGATGCCAAGACCACCGTGAAGTGAATGGCTAATCAAAAGTAAGGATTTGGCCTGCGATCCTGAATCGACTGAAAATGGATACAGGATAATGCAGTTGTTGGGTAGGTTTCGACTTGGCTGAGGTTGGTATGTCCTCTACCCACTGGAGCCGAGTCGTTCGCCGCCCTCCATCTGCGATTTTGGGAGATCACTTCAATATTTTTCGCAGATTTCGGAGGAATTTT